GTACTTTTGAGGTGTTGTATTCATGATAAAAGACAATAAATCACGTTTGAACTCAGGTCCAAGACCTGGAAGGCTCCCGTTTGTTTTTATATTTATCTCTCATAAAACCTTCCAAAATGAGGGATTATGGGAGTGAGTTAAACGTATAAAATACTAAACATTTATTACAGTCAATAATGTAATTTATTTGGATAAAGCAACAACAGTAACCATAATACAAACGACTACAACCTACATATAATACACATCAACACGGTCTAGGGATATTCTAAAAATACTGTTTAAATTATTCATTTATCAATTTTTAGCTTCAAATGTAAATTAGTTTTTTATTTATAAATAAAATAAATGAAATATATTAACTATAACGCAGAATTATTAAGAAAATATCTATACAAAATTTAAAAAATATTTTGTTGTTTTTACATGTGCTTTATTTTTGTTTTTGCAAGTGATTTATTTAAGTTTGGCTAAAAATTGTTTAATACATGTTTATGTAGTTTAAAATTACCATGAAGAGAAGACATTTGACCAAAGAGCAAATGCTAAGAGCAGTTGAAATGTTAGAAGCTGGTGCAAATCAAAGTCATGTATCGAATTTGTTAGACACCAGTCAGAGTGTTATAAGTAGGCTTTGACAACGGTATCGTAGTACGGGTAGTGTACACGAACGACGTGCCAAAACACAAAATCAAGACAGATTTTTGGTTTTACGTGCCCGAAGAAATGTGAGCAACAGCATCCGAGTTAGTTTCTAAGCTGCAATTCACTTATAAAGTTATTGTAAGTGCTCAAACTGTTAGACGTCGCTTACTCGAAGCAAATTATATTCTCGAAGACCTTTGAGAGTTCCACCACTGAGTCGAGGCAATCGCGCGGCAAGACTGGCTTGGGCACAAGAACATGAAAATTGGACCAGAGAACAATCATTATGGGCAACAGTTTTATTTACCGATGAATCTTGTTTCGGATTACATTCTGACAGTCGAAGAACGAGAGTTTGTAGAGCTTCTGGACACATAGCACGTCTGCAAACAGCACAGGAAGTTCACAGCTATAGAGGTGGTGCAGTAATGGTGTGGGGTGGAATTAGTGCTGATGGGAGAACTGATCTCGTTCCGTTACAAGGATTTTTAAGAGCAGTCTCTTATGTTAATCTAATACTTAAACCAATAGTGATTCCTTATGCTGCAGCAATTGGGCAACAATTTTTGTTAATGCAGGACAATGCCCCTCCGCATGTTAGTAGGATAACTTTAAATTTTTAGAAAATGAGTCAATTGACGTACTACCATTTGCTGCACAATCCCCCTACCTCAATCCCATTGAACATGTGTGGGACATGTTACAAAGGAGAGTTCTACGTCAAAATGTTTTTTTTAATAACCGAGAAAAACTGATAAACAATCTTCTCAGGGAGTGGAATGCTATCAATCAGGACGAAATTAATAATTTAATTTTTAGTATGGGCAGAAGATGCAGGGCTATTATTAATGCCCAGGGTGGACTTATTAAGTTACAATTTATTGTATAATTTTGATTTTAGAAGAAAATTTCTTAATGTTCAGTTTATGGGAATTCTTTCATTTCTTTTTTTTCTGTTTATATAACAAAAAAAAGAAATGAAAGAATTTTATTTTATTGGGTCCACACAAGATTAAAGAAATTAGAAACAATAATAATGTTTACATAATATGTAATACTGCAATATTTATAATATCCCTAGACCGTGTTGATGTGTGTAAATAAATAAATAAATTAATAAAAATACATAATAACCATAAGATCAGGTAGAGTATTAACTCCTCTACAAGTATCTCAGGTGCGAGCTGAGCTCTTTTTCTGATGTAATGTTCGTTGGTTTTGTTTATTTGTTTGTTTATAGGGTGAAAGTATATTGAGTCTTAGTCTATATTTTTGTATTTTAAATGTAACTTTATCCGTCAAGAATTTATTATCCGTCATCCGTACAAAGTTTTTAAATATTTTAAATTTAAGTTTACTGTTTCTTGATTATTTATGTATTATTTATGTATTATTTATTAGAGTTCAGACTAAATCGACTGTATAAGGAGTAAATAAATAATCGGATTTGAGATCGTTTCAATTGAGGGTTCTTAATTCTCTATTATAATTCATTTGTCGGCAAACAAATTAATATTTACCATAAAATAATAGGTAATAATAATGACACAAATAACAAAGACAATGTCTGCATCTGCGCACTCAGATGAAACCAGACCTGCCGGCAACTCTTAAAATTTACAGGAAAGTAAGTCAAAATGGGATTATGTCAGGAGACCACGGACAGTGGTCATAAATTAAATGTATCTATCGCACAATCACTGTTGCTATAGTATACTCACTCCAAATGTAATACCAAATAATTAATTAATAAGTACAACCCTGCCCTTTTAATTAGATAAAATCAAGTTCAACATGTTTATTATTTAGAATCTAACGTAATGCGAGATTATTTTAACGTAAATTTACATCATTTCGATTATAAGCGTAGTTTATTAAACAGCAACCATCATGGCAGAATAGATAGATCGATGACGCCAAGTCAATTGATTAAATATTGATCTTTACACAAGGGATTTATGTAAACTCATTATACTAAATTGTTTGGGATTATCTATACTACAATAATTTTGTTATTAAAATGTAAAAACCTGTAATTTCAACACACTTTTCTATTCACCAAATTTTCACCTGTTGTTTGTCACACGGGTTTTTCTAGAATGCCTTTCTTTCTTCCCGGCTACTTCCCCCCTACCTTTTATTCTACGCCAAGCGCTCGGCACTATTACTCAATTACATTACCAACCTTAAAAATGCTTAGTTCCCTGCTTCCCGCCAGATTTAAATGTTAGTTTATTTAAACCCACAAATTGTTTAGTACCTTTATACAATAATCACAATCATAATCATAACTTTTGATATTTTGCTTGAAAAATTATTATAAAAATTATACTTTTGGACAGTGTTCTATAAAAAAAGCTTAATTAGTTGCTTACTACTGTAAAAAAGCAAATCAGTCTCTTTAACTTACTGCTTCCCAACGATCTCGCTTCTTCCAATCCATGTTACTATTAAGGTTTTCTATTATATTTATTTATTTGTGGACAAAACTGCAATATATTTACCTAAAAGGTAGTAAATTTACAAAGCAAAATTGGTTCCTAATTTTGGTGTATTCTACATGTGAAAGATGCATCTCGGCAAACGCTGCGGCTCCTAATTTTGTTATCTTTGTATAAATTACAGCGATCTTCTTGAACGCAGCGCACTATAATTTAATCAGATGCTATAAACTATTGATTTTCAAATAAGTAAAGCATATTACTTAAACAAGTTTATGCAAGACCATATAAACATAAATTATTTTCTTTTATGTTCATATAAGATCTTTTAAAACGTATCAAGTACACTATGGCAACCATAGTTAGTTTAAACAATTAAATATGTAGATTAAAAAACTGATGGAATTATTATTTTCAAAATAATTTTTGCTGCAAAATACAACATATTTTTTTGTAAGTAAATAAAAGGCAGTAACATTTATTTATTCAACCAGTAAATTGACAATATACAATATTTTATTAATTTTATTTGAAATCTATTTTCAATTTAAATTAATTTTATAAATAATTCACATTCAAATAATAACCAATTTGTATTAATTTTATGTTTTATTATTATACTTATTATTAAACTTTTAAAGGGGATTTAATCACAGACCACATGGTCTGCGGTTTTAATAATATATTTTGTATTAAGTTTAATGAACGAAATTTTATTTTGAGTAGGCACGAGCTAAGCTTGCGAGCGTCTACAAAAGTTTAATACTTTATCTAACCTCACTTTTTACCAAATTCTAATAAAGATAACTTCAGACCGTGACTAAAAAACCCGAAAGCTAAAACGCCATAAAGTCACAGCCTGTCGCTGTGTTCGTAGATAATAGTTTAACTTTAACTTTAATAATCGGCAATTTACTAACAAATTTTAATTAGGTACGGGCGAAGCCACACCTGTAACAATCCACATCAACCTTTGTTATAACTATGTTTAACAGAAAAATATTTATATAGTCATTCTATTCAAATAGAACCTAACTAGACGAAAGTTGGAAAACATGCATAATATAAATCTTGAATATATGTATATATCACGTTACATTTTGAATAAATAAAAAGTGCTTCCATGCATTCAAAGATGGTGTTTGACTTGAAAACGTTTGGATAAAATTGCTTTTGATAGGGTTATTTAGATAGAGAGGTGCACTATTCATTCCAATAGGTTTATTGATATGATTTTTCATAATTTAACTCGAAGTTTTTTGTCTTGAATTTGACAGGCACAGTTCTTTTTTTTTGGCGAAAGGAATCTCAAATATAAATTTAATTGTTCTATAGTGTCTCTGCCATTGTAAACTTTACAAAGTACATGCACATATTTTGTGTAAAAATCATTTTTGGTTTTTGATTTTTCTTAAAACTACTAGGTTTGGTTTTAATTATACACGACCTAATAATTTTTAGCTTTTGTGATATAAATAATATATTTTTCTTGCATTTGTATATGTCTTTAGTTGAAATGTACATTTACATAGGTAATTAAATTAAATATTCAAAAACCCTGTGTAGAAAATGTCATTTGAATGGCTTTTTGCTTTTACAAAATATTAGCGTCACAGTTTATTTAGCTTCGTCTTAATTGCTATTTTGGCTTTCTCCTTTGATAGCTAATTGGACCTAACATTGTCCCTCTAAAATCGCAAATTAATTCATCATCAAACAAACATTAAATAAACTGACATTTCTTCTTTACAACTCGATCATACCTTGGTAATAAGTAATTATTAGATACAGGGTGTACCAAAATTACTCAAATGGAATTGTTAAAACCAAAATATTTTATTTATTTTATTATATTTATATGCTTCACTTTATTACAATTTAACAACTTATTAAATATTATTAAATTTTTTTCAGGCAAAACTGGAGACAAAGGCACTGAAAGCAAAGAGACCAGGCTTCACTGATGATCGTTATAATGAAACATCATATTATATAGAAAATGGTATGTATATCAGTGTTTAATTGCCTAAAGCTTACTTGGATAATAACAATGAATATATATATATATATATATATATATATATATATATATATATATATATATATGATATATGATATGATATATATGATTATATTGAAAAATAAGTTATTTACGGCAAATAGCCTCCACAGCTTCGTTGCGTAGAAAATTGAAGATGTTAACTTTTAAACACATACTCTCTAAAAATGAAATAGTCAAAATTCTACTATTTGAATTAGTAGCAGCATTTTAACTAATAAAATAGTCGTTTTCACTTTTAAATAGTTATTTTTTACTACGTAAATAGTTAAAGTTTGACTAATTTAAGATTAGTCACCATCTTTGACTATTTCTGAGAGTTACAAGTAACTAATTTCTTTAATCGTGTGCGGCCAACAACAACGTATTATTTGAATTAAATACATATACCTCAGCTCCATGGTTAAATGACCCATAAAAACAAATAAAGATGCAAAAAGTTTAGCTCAAAACAGCAACACAAATAATATATTCAACTTTAAAATATTATGAACAATATTTATTGACTAATAAAATTGATTTTTATAAGAGCGGCTGATAGCCGAATGGGTTATGACAACAGCTTGACAAGCTTGACAAGTGACGGACCTGAGTTCAATCCCCGGCTGGGTCAAAACTTTTTTTAAATTTAAATCTACTAATTTGACTATTTAATTCAGTAGAATTTGACTAATTATTAGTGACTGCTTTTTCGCTATGACAATTAGTCAAATATGACTAATTCATTTTAAGAGAGTAAGCATTCATTCTAAAAATACCCAAGCTGTCCCCAATTTACTTGATTTGTTAGTACCTAATCATAATAAGTTCTCTTCATGTCAGTCTGCTTCAATAATATTTGGTTTTATTGTCTGATACTTTTAAGTTAAGTTTTAAAAATTACCGGTATAAATGGCGTTCTCTCTTAAAATGAATTAGGCAAAAATAACTAATTATAAGTCATATTTGACTAATTGTCATAGCGAAAAAGCAGTCACTAATAATTAGTTAAATTATACTGAATGAAATAGTCAATTAGTAGATTTAAATTTAAAAAAAGTTTTGACCCAGCCGGGGCACATACGTAGATTTAATTAATTTAGGCGGCCAAAAATATTTTTTAGTTCCGACATGTTCAAATTTGGAACTTTTCAATATTATTTAATAAAACTATGAAAAATTCTAATTTCGTTATTGAAATAGCAGGAATATACATATCTAATTACATTGTATATTCTATTATAAGTGTACATATATGTATACATCATTTAATAATTACAATTGAGTCGGTAAGATTAGGAACAGTAGGTCCATTTTTTGTGTATTATTTTTAAATTTTCCTTAAAAATCTTTGATTTACGTTTTTGTGGTCATCTGCGAGATCCCGCGGCTGATTTTTTCTGTAATAATATGTTAAGACTATGTCAAATTTATTAAAATAGAAAACATATTAGGGACGAACCCTGAAGTATGTTAAAAATGTTTAGAAATCTTGGATTTGACAAAATTTTGCATGAAAACCTGAGAACATACGTGAAAGCTGGTGACAGCGACTATCAAACTTTAAGTACCTGCGAGTCAGAGCGCTGCAACGTATATAAAGGGTAGGGTACTGTTCCTAGAAGTGTTTGCTACCTGTGGTAGTCAATGTGTAATTGCTAGATTTATTTTGATTTTTTTACTTTTGGCCGCCTAAATTAATTAAACCTACGTATGTGCGGGGATTGAACTCAGGTCTCAAGCTTGTCAAGCTGTTGTCATAACCCATTCGACAATCAGCCGCTCTTATAAAAATCAATTTTATTTGTTACTCTCTAAAAGTGAAATAGTCAAAATTCTACTATTTGAATTAGTACCAGCATTTTTTACTAATAAAATAGTCGTTTTCACTTTTAAATAGTTATTTTTTACTACGTAAATAGTTAAAGTTTGACTAATTTAAGATTAGTCACCATATTTGACTATTTCTGACAGTTAAAAGTAACTAATTTCTTTAATCGTTTACGGCCAACAACAAAGTATTATTTGAATTAAATGCATATACCTCTCCATGGTTAAATGACCCATAAAACAAATAAAGATGCCAAAAGTTTAGCTCAAAACAGTAACACAAATAATATATTAAACTTTAAAATATTATTAACAATATTTATTGACAAATAAAATTTATTTTTATAAGAGTGGCTGACAGCCGACTGGTTATGAGGTTAGGTTGACAAGCTTCTCAAGTGACAGACGTGAGTTCAATCCCAGGCGGGGTCAAAACTTTTTTAAATTTAAATTTACTAATTTAACTATTTCATTCAGTGGAATTTGACTAATTATTAGTGACTGCTTTTTCGCTATGACAATTAGTCAAATATGACTTATAATTAGTTATTTTTGACTAATTTATTTTAAGAGAGTAATAAATATTGTTCATAATATTTTAAAATTGAATATATTATTTGTGTTGCTGTTTTGAGCTAAACTTTTTGCAACTTTATTTGTTTTTATGGGTCATTTAACCATGGAGCTGAGGTATATGTATTTAATTCAAATAATACGTTGTTGTTGGCCGCACACGATTAAAGAAATTAGTTACTTTTAACTCTCAGAAATAGTCAAAGTGAAAACGACTATTTTATTAGTAAAAATTGCTGGTACTAATTCAAATAGTAAGAGCAATTTGAAATATTTATGGTTGCTTTTACCCCTCCATGGTATAGTTAATAAAAGCTTATAATTTACTGCAATGTGGTAGTCAACGCCGAATGTTCTTCATAGCAACCAGAATAAAACACATTCAGGGACACATGTAGCATTAATTGACAAGATATAATACTGTGAGAGGCAGCAGGAAGGAGGGTGAGTCCTTGTAGCTAACTAAGAAATTCTGTTCGCAATTCCTTTTGAGAGTGTAGTGTGCAGGATGCGTCGCTGATTTAATTACAACCTGAGGATTAATTGTCTAAAGATTGATACGGATTTGCGCGTACAAGTTCCAAGTGGCTTCGTTGTGCACGATATATGTCATTGAAAGCGCTCAAAATCAGAGCGGGATTGTCGCTTCAAGTGCGGAATCCACTCCTGCTAAATCCTGAATTGAATAATTATGTATGTGAGGATTTATAGGAATGTTTTAATTAATTGCAATCTCTAGCTAAAAAAAATAACTCTTTTGATATACCACTTTTACTAGGGCAACCTTTAGTTGTTTAAAAATAGTTATTATAAACAAAGGGTTCAAAATAAATGAATTGAACACTGGACTTGATTGCATTATATAATTAATAAATTAAAAAACACTTAACCAAAACGTAAGTAAATCAAGTTAAAAATTATTTAGTTAAAATATTGGAGGATAATAAGTCCAAGTGGCTGATTTTATCGGTAAAAGAGATCGATAGACGGCGTGTTAAAATGTAGGCACGCTCCAAAAGCAAAAAGTGTCTTGATAGAGGGCGAAAGCAATTTTAAACTTGTTGACTTGCGATAGCTTATTTGAAAATCAATTTTAAATTAGTGTTCTAACAGTTTTTAACCTGCTACGGCATGGCAAAATTAATTTCGACGGCCCCGATTCGAATTTTCCCCTTTGCGAAGCTTTGTGGACGTCACGTAGAGGTATCTTGACGAGTGGCAAGATTTGATAAATTGAATTTAAAGTACATATTATCAACAAGTAAAAAAGATTTCATTTTAGGGAACGACTTGTTTAAGAAAAAAGCAAAACACTTTGTTACCAAAATGTTAGTTCTATCCGCCAATATTACCTCACAAGTAGATGTCGTTACTATTAAAGAGGTGTGTTCAGAAAATAACGGGAATTTTTAAATTTCGCGGGTTTGGAGAATCCGGTTGTCATAAAATTATCTTTATTATGTTGGTATACATACCCCTGAAGAATGATAAAATTTTTAGATGTTTTCATTGTTTACTTTATCTGTGGCAGCCGCTAAGGTTAGACGTGTTTTTATGAGCTCGGCGATTTTGTTTCGTTAAAAGAAATGGATCAAAGAATTTGTGTCAAATTTTGCGTAAAAAAATAAAATAAAGTGTGTGAAATGTTAAGAAAGGCCTATAGTGAGTCTGCTATGAGTAAAACAAGAGTTTATAAGTGATATAAGAGTTTACAAGATGGCCGTAAAGACGTTGAAGATGACGAACGCCCCGGACGCCCAAGGACATTAACAACCGATAAAAACATGAAAAAAGTGGAAGAAATGGTTATGAACGATCACCGAATCACAATTAGAGAAGTCGCTGAAGATGTTGGCATATCGATTGGCTTATACAATGACATTTTTTCGATTGTTTTGGGTATGAAACGCGTGGCAGCAAAATTTGAATTTTGAATTTTAAACACAATTTTTTTGGCCAAAAACAATTCTGTAATGATATTCGCCAGACATGGCTCCGTATGACTTTTTCCTATTCCCCAAAATAAAGAGAACCTTAAAGGGCCGTCGTTTTGCAAGCATAAATGACATTAAAAGCGCATATCTGAAAGAACTAAAGATCGTGTTTGAGAAGAGTTTAGAGGATTAAAAGAAGCGCTGGCACAAGTGCATAATATAATTAATAAATTAAAAAACACTTAACCAAAACGTAAGTAAATCAAGTTAAAAATTATTTAGTTAAAATATTGGAGGATAATAAGTCCAAGTGGCTGATTTTATCGGTAAAAGAGATCGATAGACGGCGTGTTAAAATGTAGGCACGCTCCAAAAGCAAAAAGTGTCTTGATAGAGGGCGAAAGCAATTTTAAACTTGTTGACTTGCGATAGCTTATTTGAAAATCAATTTTAAATTAGTGTTCAAACAGTTTTTAACCTGCTACGGCATGGCAAAATTAATTTTGACGGCCCCGATTCGAATTTTCTCCTTTGCGAAGCTTTGTGGACGACACGTAGAGGTATCTTGACGAGTGGCAAGATTTGATAAATTGAATTTAAAGTACATATTATCAACAAGTAAAACAG